CCCCCGCCCCGCAGCCCCGACCCCCGGCGGGACGCGGCAGGCGCACCCCGCCAGGCACCCCCGACAGCGGCAAACCCCGATCCCCGCAACCGCCAAACCCCGCAAACCCCTGCCTCGCAGGGTACCCCCGCCACCGCACCACCGGCTCCGCAACCCCGATGCAGATGCCCGCCAGCACATCCCCGCCCCCGCGTTGCGCCGCGTTGCGGCAACCCCGTTCCCGCCAAGGGAGGTCCGCGCCCCCAGGGGGGACCCCGTGTGGGTGCATTTTTTGCAGGATACAAAAAATGTCAAGGGCTGCACGCCGGCGGTCCGCACCCCCCTCTGTTTTTTTTGTTTTTTTTTTTTCCCATACTGGAGCCGGGGTCCTGGGTGCCGACCCCCAGAACCCCGGAACCCCGGAACCCCGGAAGGGTCCCGGGGTCGGGGGTCGACAACCCTGTCCCAAACGCACGTCGGAATATAACCACGCCCCCCAAAGAACGACTAAGTATAATCCCGAAATCCCGAAGTGCATTTTCGGTACCGAAATCCCGGACACATGTCGGGAGATAATCACGCCCCCCAAAAAACAACTAAGTAAAATCCCAAAATCTCGAAGTGCGTTTTCGGTAGCCAAATCCCAAACGCACATCGGGATATAACCACGCCCCCCCAAAAAAAGGACCAAGTAAAATCCCGAAATCCCGAAGTGCATTTTCGGTACCGAAATCCCGAACCTATGTCGGCATATAATCATACTCCCAAAAAAAATGACTATGTTAAATCCCAAAATCCCGAAGTGTGTTTTCAGTGTCGAAATCCCGAACGCATGTCGGGATATAATCACACCCCCCAAAAACGACCAAGTAAAATACTGAAATCCCGAAGTGCATTTTCGGTACCAAAATCCCGAACGCACGTCGGGATATAATCATACTCCCCAAAAAACGACGAAGTTAAATCCCGAAATCCCGAAAAGCATTTTCGGTACCGAAATCCCGAATGCATGTCAAGATATAATCACGCCCCTCAAAAGACGACTAACTAAAATCTCGAAATCCCAAAGTGCGTTTCCGATACCGAAATCCCGAGCGTCGGTACCGAAATCTCGAACGCACATCGGGATATAACCAAACCCTAAAAAAAACGACTAAGTAAAATCCGGAAATCCCGAAGTGCATTTTCAGTACCGAAATCTCGAACACATGTCGGGATATAATCATACTCTCAAAAAAACGACTAAGTTAAATCCCGATATCCCGAAGTGCGTTTTCGGTACCAAAATCCCGAACACACGTCGAGATATAATCATACTCCCAAAAAAACGACTAAGTAAAATCCCGAAATCCCGAAGTGCATTTTCGATACCGAAATCCCAAACGCATGTCAAGATATAGTCACGCCCTTAAAAAAACGACTAAGTGAAATTTCGAAATCCCGAAGTGCGTTTCCGGTACCGAAATCCGAACGTCAGGACCGAAATCCCGAACGCATATCGAGATATAACCACGCCCAAAAAAAAAACGACCAAGTAAAATCCTGAAATCCCGAAGTGCATTTTCGGTACTGAAATCCCGAACACATGTTCGGATATAATTATACTCCCAAAAAAACGACTAAGTTAAATCCCGAAACCCCGAAGTGCGTTTTCGGTGCCGAAATCTCGATCGCATGTCGGGATATAATCACACACCCCAAAAAACGACCAATAAAATCCCAAAATTTCGAAGTGCGTTTTCGGTGCCAAAGTCCCGAGCGCACGTCAGGATATAACCACGCCCCCAAAAAACGACTAAGTAAAATCCTAAAATCCCGAAGTGCATTTTTGGTGTCGAAATCCCGAATGCACGTCGAAATATAACCACGCCCCACAAAGAACGACTAAGTAAAATCTCGAAATCCCGAAGTGCATTTTCGATATTGAAGTCTCAAACGCACGTCGGAATATAACCACGCCCCCCAAAGAACGACTAAGTAAAATCCNAAATCTCGAAATCCCGAAGTGCATTTTCGATATTGAAGTCTCAAACGCACGTCGGAATATAACCACGCCCCCCAAAGAACGACTAAGTAAAATCCCTAAATCCCGAAGTGCATTTTCGGTGCCGAAATCCCAAACGCACGTCGGAATATAACCACGCCCCCCAAAGAACGACTAAGTAAAATACCGAAATCCCGAAGTGCGTTTTCGGTACCGAAATCCCGAACGCACATCGGGATATAATCATAC